AAAACGACCTGTGTACATCCGAAGAAGGTATGTCAAAGTGAAAGTGAAAGTCGAGAGCCATTCAGGAGAAATGGAGATCCAATCACAAGCGAAAAAGCAGAAAACGGAGGAGATCGATCGACCTTGTTTTAAATGCAAGGAATTAGGGCACTGGGAGCCAGACTGCCCTGGAAAACAACAAAATCTTTGATAGAAATGTAGGTAGATTGGACATTGGTCAAACCAATGTCCATAAGACAGTCAGGATTTAGGGAGCTAAGAAGATTGATTGATTGTTGTTTCAGGTCCCATTTGAGAATTTCTCACTCATATAAACGCCACCATCTACCGATGAAGGGCTTTCGATGTTTGACCTATAGTCGGAACTCAAGGCCATTGAGCAGTGAGGGTTTTTCATAGTGCCAACGCCTACCGTGATACCGGGACCTCAGTTTTTAAGGTCTCATTTGAAAGATCCGTGATTTCACTTATAATGCCGGGCGCTTGGCAAAGGAATAATCACTACGTACGTTAATGTCTTAGGTTTGACGCGGCGCAGCGAACGAGAATCGAACCCGGGCCTCCCGATCAAGAAGCGAGCCCCTACCACTAGGCTAACGTCACCACCTGGGAGTGAGGAGAAACTTGAAAAAAGAACAACCAGAAGAGTGAAAACAAGAAAATTCGTGTACACTGGACTACATATATGTAGGAGGTGATGAAATCAAAATAGAGAAAAGACTCACCCTTTAAACCATCTGATTCTAAGCCCCTGAAATTGTAGAGTTTCCACATTTTAACATTTTGTTTGATTGTTATCATTTTGTGTCTAAAATTCATCAAAATTTATGTGTGAATAAAATGTAGAAAAACCAAATCATGTCTTTTTGCCCGCGTGGTTCAGTGGTGAGACCGTTTGTTTTAGAGTCGCGGAGTAGGGACTTGGGGGTCGTAACATAAAGGGTACTTAAGTCTAAGACCATGCTTAAGTAGGACTTAAGTACAGTCTTAAATTTAAGTCCGTAACTAGAAACGTGCTAAGATTTGACAATCTTAGCAAAACTTAGGCGGCCAGTAGAGGTGACTTAAGTATATCTTAACTTTCTTAAACATATATTTAGAACTATTTAAGGTTGAATTTCTATATCAAAACATTCCTCTATTTATATTATGCATTGAAAAATAATTTTCTACATTTAATATACTGGTATAAGAATTTTAGTTTTTCGTCGGGGGGGGGGGGGATTCATCATTGATTCCAATATCACTCTCTAAATGACATACATGTACATGTATATGTAAATGCAAAATATTATTTTTGGGATACGTTTGAAATATAAATGGGACTTAGGTTATAAACACTAATCATTATAAGTAAATTGTATACAGTAATCATGGATTTGTTTGTTCACTGTGAAAAAATGAAATGATTTTAAAAATTGTCGGTGAATTAAAGGATGATGACTAGAAAACAAAGATTTTCTGTAAATTAGATTGAATGTAGAACGCAACAACCGAGGATTCAGACAGAGTTCACTAACGTTTCAGAGAGAGAGAGAGAGAGAGAGAGAGAGAGAGAGAGAGAGAGAGAGATTGTTGATAAGTTGGAGATATACGAAAAATAATGTTCTGAAAACAATTATTTTCCATCCTTCATTAAATTGTAAATAAGTATATTATAAAACGTCTGCAGTCTCTGCTTGCTGATATGGGAGGAAAAAATTCAAAATGTCCCTATTGTTTTGCACTTTTTTTTTTTATTAGAGTTTCAATTTCAAGTACAAAGACATTCGGTTATCGTGCCATGTCTGCGAGAATGACAATTTGAAAACAAGTGAACATTTGTCAAACGAAAGAATGACAACAAACGGTAAACTGAAAACATCGCAGTCTCGAGTGATAAACAATATTCACTCATTTAAAATGAACCACTAGTACCATTTTATGACCGTGCTATATTTGTTTTCAAATACATTGTTTTTCGAATAATTTAAACAGAATTAACTTTAATTAAATACGAAATCTAATCTAACCTAGCTAAAACCGATAGGTAAGGACGTCAGCTTTAATATATATGTGACTAAAACGTAACTAAATCATTTTTACAAATATATATATAAATATATTGAAAAACTAGGATGATTCATAACAAATATTTTGAACATAAGTTTGACTTAGCTAAGACCTACCTAAGTCCGTTTTATGTTACGGTTTAAGACATACTTAAGTAGTACTTAGGCAGGTCTTAAGATTGCACAGAAAACATACTTATGACCCTACTTAAGTCAAAAACTTAGCAAGCTTTATGTTACGACCCCTTGATCCTTACGTTGCGGGTATGAATCTTATGTATGACGCGAAGACCGACGAGACTGTATAAACCGAGGTCCTGTGTCGCAGTAGTGCTGGTACGAAAAAAAAAATCTCACTGCTCAAAGGCCTTAAGTGCCAAGTACAGGTCTAAATTTTCAGCCTTCCACCGGCAAGTGGTGGCGTCGCAATATGAGTGAAAAATTCTCGAAGGGACGTTAAGCAAAATAAACAAAAAACAAAAACAAATCAAAAACAAAAACAAACAAACAAACATTAAATAAATAAATAAACAAACCATGTCTTATCCTTTAAAGATGACAAAAACAGGTGTAAAATTGGATCTTTGTCAAGCGAATTAGACGGTGAGTTCGGTTGTGTTTTGAATCCATGTTAAGTTTGACGTTACAATACTGTGTAACCATTCCCTTTGTATAGTGTGTTCACTGTGTATTAGACTACTAACTCAGCGGTTTTTTTCCTTACCTTTCTTCCAGGTTTTGACACATATAATGGCCTGTTTGGTTTTTTTTTCAGTGTGTTCTTCTTGACCCACCAAGGCTCCCATTAGGCGTTGGGATTGACTCTCAAAACGCACCCAGCATGCTCAGTGCATCTGCTTAAGATAATACTAACGTAAAAAAATGAACCGTTTTTAATGTAAAAAATCTACCCGGTTCAATTTTCATCATGGAAAATGTGATGAATATGGGATATTTACTATATTTTCGAGACTATGTTTTCAATGCAAGTTTATGATTTTAGTTTCAAACATCACATAGTTTGCTAAAATTTAGATAATTAGCTAAATTTTATGCACTTTGTGACAAGTTGATACTACGTTACATAATACATTTGTCCCACTTTCTCACTTTTAGTGATATTGCAAATTTCAAGTTTTGTGTTGGGAACATGAACAACATAATGCAAATATGATACCAAGGAAATGTCTCCTTTTCAGTCGTTTCAAAAGAACACTTGATAGGCTAGATATATGTTTTTAGGTCAAAACCATCTCGATCAGTGCCAAACCATTAAATGCATCTAAGAGGTCATAATATATAACTTCTATTAAAGCATGATATGTACCTTACAACAAACCGTAGGCAACAAAAAAAAAAATGAATTCCATGGTCCTAGCACCCATGGGAGTGGGTTGGAATTAAAACCATCTAAATTCATAATGTTTTTTTTCTATACTCCTGCACATCCAGAAGGATTAACAATGATCGCAGGAGAATATTAAGAAGTAAGCTCAAAAGTATCAAAACTATGACCCCTAGGTCTCAAGGATTCAAGTCCAGGTTGGTCATATTTAAAAAAAAAGGATGCATGATTGAATCTTTTTTTTCTCTTGAACATCAAGCAGGTAAGCTATTTACACATGATCAATTACGCTTCCAAAACTGTGAAATCCATGTCCTCTTGGTTCAGGTTTCCAACCATGGAATAGGGCTACGTTCCTTCTCAGACTTGGGCTATGTTGGTATGTATTGAAATAAACCTTTGATAACCTTCTTTACTCATGTCAATCTAACAGCCAAACTATGTATAATTTAGTGACTGTTTAGTAACTTTCTAACACAGTTGTGGAGTTCATATCTCCCGGGTTCATTCCCAAGGGTAGGGTTGGACAGAGTTTAAAAAATCGTATACTTTTAGAAATCTTTAAAGCTGGACATTTAGCAAGAAAACTGTATGCATGATGACAGAAAGCAATGAGTCCTAATCAAACACCTTTAGATCCGTGTGCGTTATATCTCCGTCGGAAAACTTATATGAAATTAGATATTATGGAATAGTTAGAACAGTTATTCTCGGCGCACGATGTATCCTGGTCAGGATATGTGAGTTTCGAAACATGGAACAGTTTTACTTTAGCGTTGCTTCAGTTTTTTAGGGGGAAAATCAAAATTCACAAAATTAAGGTCGTACAGAAAATAATTTAAAAAATATGAATTTTAGTTTAAGGAACATTGCTGCATGGCAGTGTGAGTTTACAGGATTAGTAAATGACAGGAAAGTAATTTACTTACATGTACATATATTTTTCAAATGTAGCATCGCTGGCATATAAACATTTTTTTCTAGCAGTTTACTTAATACGTCACACTTCATTTACAATAATATATTAAGTTACCGGTATTTTTTTTCTTTCTAATTTTTGGGCAACCAAGATTTGCATTCGGGCAAGTCAAAGTTTGAGTTCACTTGCCCTTCGGGCAAGTGAATCTGAAAGTTAAGGTCTATCCCTGTCTGATTCGCGTTATCACAATCTTTACTTTACTTCGCATTTTTGCAGGTGTAATAACGTCTTTCCTTTTTTTCCGTTTACGCCTTTTGAAAGGCATACTTATACCATTTTCACGTTATTATGCCTTTTTGAGTAACACTTTTGCAGGATTAAACTTTTTTTTTTACGTTAAAACACCTTGATTACTACTTGGCATTTTTTTTTCACCTTTGCTTTCGGCTTTTCCCTGTACATTGATCCTACATTTAATAGGCTTTCGTAAAATAACTACCATTGCCAAAAATTATATCCGAGAGATCCTGTGTAACGTAAGCTTTTTGAAAACATAAATTCTAAACCTTTCTTTCCACTCCATCGGACTAGTGCAAATGGTGCAAATATGCATACATCGTCATAAATTAGGACGGGCTTTAAATTTCAGAACTCTGTCTCTATCCTCAATTTCACGCAGATTTTCCTATGGTAAGGACTATTATTATTTTTTCTGTCACAACAGCATGAAGACAAGATCAAAGGACGCCATTTTAACCTTCACAGACATTTGTTGGACCTTGAAAGAAAAAGTTATTCTAACAAACATCAATGGGGAAGCCAAAAATGGACAGATTTTGGCCATCATGGGTCCAACAGGTAAATTTTCTGTACTTTTAACAATTAAGGAAGCTCAAGTGACTGCCATCTTGTTTATAATCTCTTAAAGTGGAAAAAAATCATCGTTATTTCACGGCTTAAGCAAGAGCAATGCTCTGAGAATTTCTGAGCAGGCCTGTAGGAATGTTTGTCAAAGGAGGGGGACAGACTAAAAAAATAATAATGAGACAAAAAGGAGACAAAAAGTTTAATACCCATACTCGAAAACTCTTCTTTCAACTTTTCTTAAACTTTTTGATAACTGGTTTTCTAAATGTCATATTCATGAAATCATTATTTTTTGTGTGTGTGTTATGTATCATTAAATGTGTCAAATGCATGCATATAGGTTTCTGATTAAAGTTTGCTAATACAGTGACTTTTTGATAAGTATGAAGAAATGGACAGAAGATTAACGCTGAAGAAAACTTCATCATAAATAAGAAAGGTGCAATATGATAATCAAAAAATCATAATTATGCAAAATATGAAACATGTTGATTAACATCATTTGGCAAATTTTGCTAAAAAATTACAGGATCAGGAAAAACGTCTCTTCTTAATATTTTGGCGGGAAATGTTACACAGAAATCAGGAACGATTACTCTTAATGGGGACCCCTTTACAAAGCTTCAGCGGCGGAAACTTGGATATGTTCTACAGAGTGATATATTCCTGTCAAGACTCACACTATGGGAAACTCTCTTTGTAAGTGTACAGTGATTGATTGATTGTATGTTGTTTTACGTCCCCTTCGAGAATTTTCCACTCATATAGAGACGTCACCATATACCGGTGAAGGGTTTCAAATTTAGACCTTTACTCGGCACTCAGGGCCATTGAGAAGTGAGGATTCTACCGTGACACGTGGCCTCGGTTTTTAAGGTCTCATCCGAGGGACCCACAACTTTCACTTCAAAGTGCCGAGCGCTTGGCGAAGGAACAGTTGCTGGCTATTTTTTATATCGACTTACCGACGCGACCGTGATTCGAACACACGACCTTCCGATCACGGAAGTGTACAGTGTAATAAATCATTTCTTTCTTTCTTGCTTGTTTTATCATATTTGTCATATTGGTATGTATATACAGACTGTTACGGTCGTTAGAAAGTAAATTGTTTGAATTCGGAGTTTCGTATGACATTGACGAAACAAACACTGAACGATGAGTGAACGCTGAATGCGTTGTGAACGAATAGCGCGAGCGCTTAGTGAACAGTGTTAGAACGGTAAACACTTGAAAGAGGATTTGAAAGAAAATATTTCCACTCGTGTTTTTTACTCGGGAAAATATAATAAAAGTCTATGCCACTCGTGAGATAAATTCCATAATAAACTACAAAATTTGGATACCTTCCATATATTCCTAAGCTATAAGAATTGAATGAATATGAATGCAATAATATTTCCACATCAACATTTTTAGTTTACCGCCATGATACGGCTTCCTGATCACGTGACAAAAACGGATAAGATGGCACGAATGGATGAAATTATAGACGCACTGCACCTGCGCGGATGTTTGGACACTGGTAAGGGAACATCTTTCAACATTCTTTAGTCGAACAATTGTAACTCCAGGAAATGCTATGAATTCGCTCCACGCTCTATTATCTTATTATTATTCATGTTAATGATATTTTTAGCCCCCCCCCCTCCCTTCCCCCCAAAAAATGATTTTTACTAATATATTTTTTAAATTATTTTTTTCGGAGAAAATTAAGCTCTTTTGTTATTGATTTTTTCTTTTCTCTGCACTAGCCTGTATACAAAATTGACGACATAAACAATAATGAAATTCCCACACTTAAGTTTTGCTTAACCTTATTAATTTCAATTTCAAGCATGCATTTATGTGAGTCAGAATTTCGAGTTTCAAAGAGTTGACCCTTTCAATCTTTATGCAAAGTGTATGAAATTGCACAAAACGTATGAACAATTTTTTCCCCACATTTGCCCATAAAAATAAATGACTCAGAGTACTATTTCAAATGTTATTGTTCCTAATTCTCCCATGTCCGTTATATATTGAAATAAATATCCATCTGGTTTTAGTGATTGGAGACTTCATGTTACCCGGACTAAGCGGAGGAGAGAAGAAGCGTGCAAACATTGCATGTGAACTTCTTACGGATCCCAACATTATGTTGATAGACGTAAGCTGTCAATAATTAGGTTTCTAAAATTTCTGTTTTGATCGCGTAAAACGCCAGAATATGATCGTTCCTACTGCACTATCTTTCCCAAATCAACAAAACAATCTGTAGCTTATAATTAAAGAATTAAATTAGGGACCTTAGATGTCACTTTAAAGAGATACTCTGAAAAATATATTATGTAAATATCATAAGCAGATATGCTTTGGTTTCTTCCAGGAGCCCACTTCCGGTCTGGACTCCAGTACTGCGCATGTGTTAATGAAAGAACTTCAGGAGTTTGCCTCACAGTATAATAAGACTATTTTGACAACTATTCATCAGCCATCCAGTCAGATCTTTCACATGTTTTCGTCTCTTCTACTGCTTGTTAAGGGGCGCGTGAGTTTACATACGTGTTTCAATAGGAGATGGCAGTTATTCTAAACCCACCCCACCCCTTTCACCATAAAGTCCTTACCTACACTTAAATTTGACTTTTTAAAACATCTGATATATATCAATTGTTCGGTACTGTAAATTACAATATTTTTGTGACACTTTATTTCTGTCAGATAGTAATATTACATTTATAAGTAACAAAATATTTCACGAGTTCTGGTAATTATTCTCCGTATCTTCTTAAATACAATTTTACGCGAAAATTAAATGTTTGCGAGCTGACTGGCTTGCAAAAAATAACTTCTTGAAAGTACTAGTAAGAGTGATTTACAGTATTTCATATATTTTAAAGAACTATGGGGGGGGGGGGGCACATTAAATATAGCATTATTGTAAATTTATTGAATTGATTCGAGGGTAACATGCAATTTATCGGACTCGAGAACAAAAGTGTTTGGTCGTTAGGTAGATTGGTTTGCGTGTTCGGCAAAACGCATTCTGCCGGAAAACCCATTCAATAAATGTTTTGTTATATCTTTCAAAATGATTCCTATAGAAAAAAATGCGAAGACTTCCTTTTTTTGTTTTGTTTTTGTTTGTTTGTTTGTTTGTTTGGTTTTTTTTTTTTTTTTTTTTTTTTTTTTTTTGCTTTGCAGATGAGAAAATCTTGACGTGAAATTCACTTACCCACGATGCAGTTTTTAACCGATAAATTCCTTAGCTATCGAACACCAATGAATGCAAATTAGATATTGCTTGTTGACTCGTCTCAGATTATCCCGCTGGGATGAACTAAATGCAAATTGATTAAGTGTGAAAAAAGTCAAACCGGTCCAACATCTCACCGACTGGTCCAACATCTTACCAACCGGTAAAACACCGTATTTATGGACCGCTCAGTAAAAAACATTGCAATAGCTATAGGAAACAATTTTAAAAAGGTAAAACAAAAATTCTTTGACGAACAAGAAAAAATGCAAAATTTATGCACGTGCGTTTTACACTCATGGTCTTGTATAGTAGGTAGCTTTACTTTTACCTATGTCATACAATTGTAATCGATGCACGTCATATTATTTGGAAATCTTGTTCACTGCAGCCTGCTTACTTTGGTGATGCTAACAAAGCGCTCCAGTATTTCAGTGGGCTTGGCTTAAACTTCCCTGACCATTACAATCCATCTGATATTTTGCGTGAGTATAACAAAACAAATATTGAAAAGAGTAACTTTTCCAATTCTGAGATTTACCTTTCTCTTGTGAATTTATTTTTTTTATATTTAATCATTAGTAATTCCTTCTAATGACAAGCGTTTAATGTGGTCATTTTCAGTGGATTTGCTGACCACAAATCCGGAAGTCGTAAATAAAATTCTTCAAGCATCAGAGAAAGCAAAGTGAGTACATACAATGACGTATGAATCTAAAATCAAATTTACATCTTCAAAAAAAGAAAACGTCATTATGTTATCTAAGATACTTATTTAATCGGTTGTTTAAATTCAATGATATTTAATATGTAATCAGCCCTCATAATTAACAAAGTTGCTGGGAGATATTTTTTGTCAAACGAGCCAGATGAATATGTGTCCATCAGTGCGTCAATGAAAAATTCATGAAATAATCATACAATAAGGATTACAAATTACTTTGTCAGTCTCAGACTTATTAATACGGATTCAAGATGGTCTGTCAAAGATTAAATGTGGTGATAGCTTTTTGACACAATTTTGAAATGCTCTATAAGCACTCAGACACGTATTTGTTTCAAATATGAAAGATGGCAAAAAAGTAATTTTAGGTACTGATAACTCATACATGTATAATGTATGAAAATATGTATAAAATGTATTATATTCTCTTCACGTTATATATGTTTATAACAATTTAATGAATATGACTAATACACTTTAAAAATGAGAATTATTTGTAGTAATTTTAGGGTGAAGGTTGAAAGCGCAGAATTCTGCAATGGTGAGGAGTCGGCAATTAATGGTGACGTCACCTCAAAAACAGCATTGTCATTTACAAACGTAGAGGCCACTGAATCATCAAATGGTCATGTTATTTCTCTTGGATACCACAAAAAAGGTGAATTCTGAACAAAGTTTAGAGTAAACGGAACGTTGTGTATTCACAAACCTTGCCTATAATGACTAAAACGTTAAATCCCTTTCAATTTGATGAAATATTGTTTAATCCAGAGTGATGCCTAGTCCGACAAATTTCTTTGGAACTAGTGGTGTCTAGATTATATATACAAATTTTTGAAACCGTAAATTGTAACATTATAATTAATCATTTCAACTGAAATTAAGTGTCAAAATAATATTATGGAGGCTAGAAACCAGAACACCATGGACGTATATTTTCAAGAACATCGTCATGCTTTTCAGATCCCACAGAAATTGTTCTTGATGTCTCGTCTGTTGAACACGTTGCTATACACAATCCAAGACGCCCTCTTAACAGAAAGTGGGCAACCTCATTTTGGACACAATTGCGCATGTTGTGTTGGAGAAATGCCAAGCAATCAAAATGGCGGATTTTTGACGTTTGTAGGGTTGCGCAAGCTCTAATTATTGGCGCAACTGTTTGTATTGTATATTACCAGATACCAAACTCTAACGACACACTTCGAGACAGGATGGGGGCGGTAAGAAATCCAGAATTTTACTCCACTGGTGACTTCAGATTCAGAAATTATTATTGCCTGTTATAATAAAGAATATACAATTTTCGAACAGGTTTTTATTCCAGTGATATTTTGGGGGTTGGCCATGATGAATGATGCTGTTTCCAGCTGTAAGTTTTATTTTTGTTCCGTTTTAAAGTCTTTAAAATTCAATATCCTATTACTCTTCTCTTTTATTAGATCACCTAAGAGTCTCAGGTGACCTGTTCCTATCTATTTTCGTCAGTTGTCTTGAGTCGTGCTTCGGCGTTAACATTTAAACATTTTCAGCATCTTCTCTGGAATCACTGAACCAATTTCAACACCATATGCAGTTGATGGCGCAATGTTACTTAAAGAATAAAGAAAGTTGACGATGGAAAATCTAAATGCATTTGTTTGTCATACAGTTTTTATATTAACTGGCCCTTGTTGTCTACAGTCAGTAAAATATCCAAATATGAAAAGATGTGGAAGACTCTGTGGTGTCTTTAATTTCAAGTTTACTGGGATACATCGAGTCGACATATAAATGGAAGTAACTATTATTAATTGATTAAACGTCCTCGATATATCTGTATGTCGAGTTGAAGGCCATACAGCAAGTGTTTTCTTCTTCACATGTAGAATGTTTGAGTTAATTCTGCTTCATGGAAGAAATAATAAGAGCTAATAATGGAGCTCAAAAAAAAAAAAAAAAAAAAGCATGGCTGGGTCAGCAAATGTTCTACCAAGTCCCTATCTTCACGCCTTACAAAAATATAAACCACTGTAAAGGAGAAACTTCAGACGCACTGTGCTACAGGAAATTCTACAGTGGTGTAAACCAGATGTTAATTCTCAAAAAATCCAAAGAACTTAAAAAAAAAAAAAATGAAAATCACCATTTTTTTCTAAGTCAATAAAATCAAAACGGATGACATTTATACTAGGGATTGCAATCGAATACAAAATTGCCAATCGGTTAACCGCAAGACGTTCCGACCGATTAATCGGTTCATCGTATCAAAAATTCTCGACATATTTCTCCATTGTAAGCTCTATTAAAAAAATGTTACATATAGTAAATAAATATTACCGGCATGTTTATAATTTATCAGATGTATACATTATTTTATTATACATTATTTTTAATTTTAATAAGCCAAAAAAAAAAAAAAAAAAAAAAAAAAGAAGAGAGAAAGAAACCCATGGGATATGCCTGAAGTATATCAGATACATTAAAAAAAATTCAGAAGAGATGCCGTGCAAATTCATTCTGCATTGTCACCATTATCAAAACTATCGCTTAATTTACAATGTTTGTTTAATAATACAATTTGATAGGTAACGGCAGAGGATAGAAGAGGTAAGATACACATAATAAACAGTTTGCAGTACTCAACGATCATTTAATTTAAATAATTAAAGAAACACGGGTATCGACATGGTGTTTACAAAACAATTAACATCTCAAAAACTGGTGTCCATTTGTATAGCCTAAATTATCTCCGAATCAGCTTAAATAGATAGGTGAAAATGCTAACATTTCAGATATTTTTGATGTATCTTTTTAAATGATTTTTTTTATGAAATTGTGTTCAGATTTACACATATATTAATTTTTTCCGACTAACCGATTACAGATTTTCTAACCGATTACCATCGTTCCGACCGAGTAACCGGTTAACCGATTACAAATTGCCATCCCTAATTTATACACTTCACACAACCATTCCTCAAGAAAAATTAAAACTAGGCTTTTTGATATCATAGAAAACTGCTTCTTCAATAAAAACAGAACTCGAAAATTTTCGAATCTTGTGATTGGTCATCAACAAAATTACTTTGTTAAAAATCACTTTGATTCTACAGAAAAGTACCATGAATTTAATATTAATAGGATGGTGGAGTTTCTCATTGACAACATTTATGTAGTCTTCGGAGACCAAGTCTTCCAACAAACTGATGGAATTTCTATTGGCGCTACCCTGTGGTCCTTTATTTTCCAGCTTGTTTTTATATTTCTATGAAATAGAATTTATAAAAAAAACTTCTATATGAGAAGAAGAAATTCAGATATATTGACGACGATTTATCAATAAACAATAGTTACTTTCATTCATTTGTCGACTCGAAATATCCCACTTAACTTGAAATAAAAGATACCACAGAGTCTGTCACATCTGTCTGATGTTTGGATGTTTTACTGACTATAGACGATAAGGACCAACAAACAGCTAAACTGTGTGACAAATGAAATGACTTAAGCTTTTCCATCGTCAACTTTTCTTATTTGTGTAGTAATGTTCCGTTGTCAATTGCATATGGTGTTTACGTCTCCAAACTTAGCTTGTTTGATACATGTACTCAAGAGCATGATCTGAGAACAATCAATTTTTAAGACGAGACAGGCTATTAACAGATAAGATGATATTAAAGGGATTTCAGCAGCCTCGTTTAAAGTCAGCAATTCATAAATTCTATGATCGTTTTAATGACATCGTTAATAAATATAACCTTATTTTCTCTGCTTCTTGGTATTATGCAAAAAAACTAAGTGCATAGTTATAATGAGCGAGGGAGTCTCTTTCAAAATCGTGAATTTTACTGTGCCTGGGTCAGGGGTTGGGGTATTAGGGCTGGGCTGTATTGATGATGTATTGAAAATGCATTATTTACTTGAAAATTTTTTTCGCTGCTGTACATTAAATACTCTTCAAAGATCAAGCGAGGCCAATATGAGAGGATGTGATTTGTATACTTGAGCTCAGGCACTATTGTCATGTCCAGTCTGCATGTTGATAGTGACAGAAGGGAATGTGTCAGGACTGGGAAGTGTAGGCAAATAAAATCTGCTTTGTCATTTGTTACTGAGTACTATGAATAACTATTTTGTTCATCCTAGATTATCCTATTTCTCTTGTATTTGGGCAGCATATCATCATCTGTCAGTTTATTTTGTTTTATTTTATACTTTTACAGTGTTGTATTATACTCAGGCGACCATGGGTTATTTTGTTAGCCATATATGGTTTCCACTTGTCGACGACGCGTTAAATGAGGACTTCATATGATACATGTTCAGTGTAGATGGAATTTTGAAACTTTGAATTTCTTTTAATATCACCTCAAAAATGCTTCTGTAAATTTCAACATAGAACTGAATAAACATATTTGATTCTCATTTTTATTTCAAAGTTATTGGAGAACGAGAAGTTGTGAGAAAGGAAAGAAAAGCAGGTGCCTACCGCCTTTCTGCCTATTACATGGCTAAGATGTTTAGTGAACTACATATGATGATTGTGGTACCCATTGTCCAGCTTACGGCTATATACTGGTTTGTAGGGATGGGTGGACCGGTACAGTTCCTTACTTTTATAGGAATAAACCTTCTGAATTGTTTTATCACTCAGGTAAGAAATCGAGACTGATTATTGAATTTCTCAACATCTCTGGATATTTGAAGAGTAAATAATAAGAATCTTTACAGGTAGCTGATCAATGTCTGTTTAAATAATTATTTCCAGGGGAGGGCTGGGATATGTGTGTTCTGGGAGTCAATGTTTTTAAATGTATACATATCTAACAGAACTGCTTATTAGTTTGAAATAATGTGTTACCATTCTGACATTACATTGAATCAGATTAATTCAAATTATAAACCCTGATGCAGGGATGTTTTAAGATTCGGGCTTAAAAGTTTGACATGCACTGTAAAAATCACACATTTCTGTAGGGTTGCGGAAAAATTACTGGTTGGAGGGGATTTTATTTCCTTTTTAATGGAGAAACATCATACCACATTATGAAAAATTTTCATTTCGTTGGGGATATGAATACTAGGAAAAGAACGAAAATTGCCCTCCTCCCCCTTTCCCCACGAAAATTAGTGATTCCACAGTAGCAACAAATGGGACAAATCTTCTCTTCTGGAGTAGTCAAAATAGATTGGATATAAGGACAATACATTTCACAAGTTATTTTATCAGTAAATATTGTTTTACTTATAGAGCATAGGGTACATCATTGGAGCCTGCGTCCGAACAATAAAGTACAGTTTAAAAACTGCCAGCACTGTTACGATGGTATTCATGATATTAGGTAAGATGTAAGTTGAGGTCATTAATTCAACTCTGACCTGATCCTTACCTTGAAATAGAACGTGATTGTTCCTTTTCCAAATGCTGGCAACAAGAAGTGAATGCCACGTGACATTCGAATGAGACGTATAGAAGGCACGACTTGACTAAGATCCATCTTTATATAAGAATGTTCTGTGGTATCATAGTACATGTATATTTAAAAGTACGAAAGCCCATTGGGCTCATTTTCGTAGGTAAAAAAAAATATATTTTGTGTTATAACGCGGAACTTTCGCGAATAAACGCAAAACTTTCGCGTTATAACGCGAAATTGTACATATATATAATCATGTTACTCAGGAACCTGTGATCTTGACTGACAGAAAAGAAACAAGAACGCAGACAGGGATTTTCTTGTTTTTCACTTGTTGAATCCCAGAAATTCTTTAGACTAATTTTTTTTCAGGAAGATTTCCACTCGTCGCTTTCTTTTTCAAGTATGTTTTTCATTACTAAAGTTCACTATAACTTTACCACTAGTAAAGAAATCCGTAATTTTAGACTATAAACTATACACTTCAGAAATCTGGCTTAAAATTTAAAGTGAGGGAAGAATGTATCATTTCCTGAGCTTAAGGTGCCATATGATGCTTTTTACAAATTATTATAATAGGATACTGTTAATCACAAACTTATCTAGGAAAAGGGGTCTACTTTTCTTGATTTTCCTCCATAATTTATAAATACGACAGTTATTAAAAAGACTATCTAAGGTATACAGCAAAGAGTTATATATATATATATATATATATATATATATATATATATATATATATATATATATATATATATATATCAGGGCTCTAATTGGCGATTAATTTAGTCGCCATGGCGCCTAAAAATTATGATTGGCACCTAATTTTTTTTCTATAAGTTTAAAAGTTAGCAATGGACATGTCTCTGTATATTGACTAATATCAGTTTTTAAATTGGTCCTAAGAAAAATTTGCCCTTTCGACTAAAAATTTGCATTGGCGACTAATTTTTTTTTATAAGGAGCCAGATGGCGCCTAAATTTTAGAGGTCACATAGAGGCCTGTATATATATATATATATATATATATATATATATATATATATATATATATATATATATATATATATATATATATATATATATATATATCTGAATAAATTGAAGTAATGGATGACAACTTAGCGCAACCTCCAGTGAGTCTATCGGAGATTTGATACGAGTATTTGTCATCCAATTTCCACATTAGGTTACTCATGTGATGTGACACAGTTGATCCATAGAATATACAAATTTACCTCATTGTTGTCAATTTTCTGAGATCAAATTCTATAGAGAGTGTTAAAAATGACGCCGGAAAGAGGGATCATTTCCCCGAAAGTTTCATTTTGGAACAACTTTGGAAAAACTTGCATAGACTTTGAAAATGTTTGAACAGCATTGAGAAAGACAAAATGTGACGGCAAAAAGATTTAGAAAGATGAGAGACACATTCAATGGCGAGAAAACATAAAATTTCAGCTTGTGATATCCATGTTCATAATAGTCTTTCGTGTTTCATTGTAATGAATAAAATGAATAAAGAAACAGAAAATGAAGAGTTATGCAAATGTCCCTGTCAGTAAGCGAGGTTCGCGAGAGCCTCGTCATCGCGAATATTTCTCGCCGTGAACCGGTCCTTAAAGACTCTCTTTCTATTAACAACAGATCAAAAAAAGGCTTGATCGCGAAAATTAATCGTCGCGAACAAGTTTATCCCCGGTTAATCGCGAAATAAAGTGGTCGTGAATAAAAGTTGGTTTACAGTATTCGCGAAAGTTTCGCGTTATAACGCGAAAAATATTTTTTTTTATCTACGAAAATTAGCTCAATGGGCTTTCGTATAAAAGAGAAAAATGCTTGCTAGTGTATAAAATAACATATCAGTTAATCCTAATGAACTGATTAGGATCAAACCTAATCAGTTAATATAATAATCTTATTAATTAAAAGACGGTATAAAAATGTAAAATAATTTGTTTGTTTTGTGCCCAAAAATTGTCTTTTGATGTATATCTGTGTCTTTAAATATGTACTTTTCCTTGAGAAGCATACTGCTTTACTTTTCTTGGATGATGTTTCTATAGAAGCACATTTCTTTACTCGTCCCGGACGATGTATCTATCGTAGCAAACTTCTTTACTGTCTTTGGTGATGTATATATAGAAGCATACTACTGTACTTTCCCTGGATGATGTATCTATATATAGAAGCATACTTTTTTTTTTTTACCTTTTTTGGATGTGCATCTATAAAAGCATATTGCTTTACTTGTCTTTCGTGATGCATCTATTCAAGTACATGTAAATCTAATTTTTACATCTGTGAGCTCTGGTCCCAAAATACTTAAATACCGAAGGATGACTCTTTATAAGCCATTTTTCGGCCTACGATAAAATCACTAACACAGCCACCCTCTTAAGTTTTCCAATTGTCCTAATGCCATGCGGACCGATAGTACCTTACTTTGCGACCCAATATCAAAACAAACACTATAGCATCATCATCCAATCAATATTTATCATTAAATTGGATCATTAACCTACAAATTCATGCAGTTTTTAAGGAAAAAGCACTCCATGAAAATTGGAAGTTATCGTAGGCCGCAAAACGGCCATATATATGAAGATTGATCCTTTAGGAATGTTGATGTATCGAGATGTTGATGTATCGAGATGTTGATATATCGAGATGTTGATGTATCGAAAGATCATTCTACTGGACTGGGGATTGATGCTGCATCAGACCTGTCCTTTTAGGATGAATTACTAAGAAGATTTATTCTGTAGTGTTTATAAAAGATATATCTAGTCAAGACCAAACTTTTCTGTAGAATGAATCCAGGAGTAGGGTATGTTTATTCAAATGATATTTAATGGAAGCCCTATCACGTCGGACTTATGTACCCTAATTAAATTTTTTTAGACTTTAATTGATATATTTCATTTGCAATATTGGGTACCTGGCATTCTACTAAGTAAACATTATCAAAGACAAAAAGTGTTGATGAACAAAAATCACTGTTACTTACTGAATAGGGGGAAACAATGCAATTAAAGCGCTCAACCACTTCATCTAGGTCTAATATAATGTTAAGAATACTTCAGTGAATTACAAACCGTACACTGTAGATTTCTGTTTATTCAAGTTCTAAATTAAAGGACAAATCACTCTAAAAGTATGAACGTACCATGGAAATGGTACTCAGTGTGGAGTGCATAGAATGTCCTTAAACAATGAAAATACTTCCCGCTAAGAAATACCATTTATTTAAATTTTGTAATATGTATTTCCTTCATTTACAGGTGGCTTTTTTAACACATCTTTCCCCACATGGTTTACTTGGGCTAAGTATTTTTCAGTCCTTCATTATCCCTTTGCAGCCACTGTGACTATTTTCTTTGGAGATATAGAACCCTTCAGGTATGGACATAAAATATAAAATTTGACATATAAAATATGTCATGTACGTGTATTGTGTTAAAATATAAAATATGACATATAAAATATGTCATGTACGTGTATTGTGTTTAAATATAAAATATGACATATAAAATATGTCATGTACGTGTATTGTGTTAAAATATAAAATATGACATATAAAATATGTCATGTACGTGTATTGTGTTAAAATATAAAATATGACATATAAAATATGTCATGTACGTGTATTGTGTTAAAATATAAAATATGACATATAAAATATGTCATGTACGCGTATCGTGTGGAATATCAATAGCGGTATTTGTCATATGATTATAATAGGGACAAAATGATTTTATATACAAAATAGAGTACGTAAATGGTGAACAAGTCATTTTATTTATAGTATGTAATGTTAAACAACGAAAAAAATTCAATTGAGTTACTATTTGAATTCTACGAAAGCTCACTGAGACCTATCAAAAATATTTTTAAATTCGAAATAAAGAATTGTTGAATTTGTTAGAATGAATTTAATTCGTTATTTTTTGTTTAATTCGTTATAACGAATTGAATTTGTTATAACAAATTTGTTGAAATCGTTATAACGAATTTAAAACATTGTTATAACAGATTGAATTCATTTAAACGAAATTTAAATTTAAAGTAACGAATTCAATTCGTGTAGTATTCTAAACTCAAGACAGACTTGATATCAGATTAAGTCGCAAAACCTTGACTGGGTCCCGTCTTTTTATTTCAACCAATTTCCTTTTACTGTATCCATTATATCGATTAAAGGTTTTCATTGTGGAAGTCTTATCCAAATTATTTTAATCTTCAGAAAACTGTGTTGTAAGCAACTATCTTAATGTTAGAAAAAAAAAAAAACACCTCTTCATTAATAAACTAAAATTTCATCTGATTACTTTGCTGATTTGCATTAAAATATACAACCTTTCTTTTTAGGTGTGGAAATTCTCAAATATTCATAAAGTGCCAAAATGAAACGGAGCTAATCACAGGAAGTGAATTGTTACACAGCGTAGGAATAGATCTTCCTGTTTATTGTTGTATTGGGACGATGGTGGTCTTGCTTATAGTGTTCCGTATTCTGGGATATTATGCCATTAAATACAGATTGTAGACATATTAGCCAAATATTGGAACAAACTAATTTTAATGTTGTATTTTTAACTATTTCGTAGTGGATACCCTTCGAGGACTTGGAAGGATAAACGAGACTACGTGATTGATATGACCTCATATTTAAATGACCAAATGAAAAAGGTAAAGATAACGAACAGTGATCGATTTCAAAAAATCTACAAGCAATACAAAACTGTGAAAAGGGAATAAAACAACCGGAAATTCTAGAGGTGAGATCAGGTGCCTAAGAGGAGTAACCATCCACTGCTGACGGCTCATGCCCTCCGTGAGCCCTATGTATTGATCAGGTAGACGGGACATTCCCTACCAAAATTAGCATAGAAACAAAGGCCCTACAATCAGTAAGAACCACGTCAGCCAAAATAGGACGCAATGATAGTTTATATTTACTAACACAGTCATTATCACGACCATAGACTTTACAGAATACTAACTTTAAACGAGTTTGTTAAGTCCCTGTAACATCAACTTATCTGTCGGTAGCCTGTTAAAAAATTGAACGTACTCAGAGCATGCTCTTGAGTATTGAATAAGTTGGGAAACGTGAACACTATATGCAGCTGATAGCGGAATTTTATTTACATAAAAACGAAAGTCGACAATGGAAAAGCTGAAGTAGTCTCGTTTGTCATAAAATTTAGTTTTTAGCTGACCCTTACCGTCAATTGTCAGTAATATATTATAAAGTTTTCCATTTTTCTCATTTATTTTGTTCATTCCAACAAATTCCATCAAACTCAAGGTTATGTAACCAGATCATCTTCAGAGTGCAAGTATGTTAAAAATCAACCCCAATCCTTTTGAGAGAATCTTCAACAACAATTACGATTTCGTAATCGGATATATATATATATATATATATATATATATATATATATATATATATATATATATATATATATATATATATATATATATATATATATACGAGGGTTCATCCAAAAGTAATGTCACAGGTCCATTAGAACTTTACATAGCGAGAAGTCATCAACATATTTTATATAGTAGTACCTTAGCTTCCTCGTCTATTTCAGATACATGTATAAAGATAAACACGATGTAAGGTTATGTCTATTGCAGCACGACAAAAAAAGTTAATTCCATGCATTTGAATATAATTATATGCCATCATGCTAAAAGTTTCGTTTTGAGTTGTTCTATAAATATTTTTTGAATTGTCCACAATTCATTTCAGTTTTCACTCTAAGATCACGTATAGTGTCGGATTCACGTGTAACTGGCTGAAAGATTGACTGATCGTCCACTCACTTCTTCTCTGTTCAGATGTTGAAAAAGGTTGATACTTAAGCAAATGTCTTTTTTTTCTACAAATAAGGGTAATCAAGCAATTTTATGGATGAAACTTTTATATGCTAGACAGATGCAAGAAAGTGCGAGGAAAACATGTATCAGCAAACCCGTTTAGTGTCTCATACTTGTATCCGTCGCTACATGAGAAGGTACACACACAGCAATACAACAGTAATGAATATAGACTTTGAATTTGTTTGATTAATTTCACTGAACAGCTCAATGCAAAATGCTTAGCAATTGGTGTAAAATGGCAGTGAAGATTAGTTTAAAAACATGGAAATTGAACGTTTTATATATATATACATGTATGTATATATATATATATATATATATATATATATATATATATATATATATATATATATATATATATATATATATATATATATATCGGCTTGGCCAAGATCAGGTGCCCATTTCCAACTAAATGCTGTTATATAGATGTAACTCTTTATAGTTACATTTAATCTAAATGTCTTTTGTTGCATTGCAAAGATCAGAATGAGAGCTTTCCATTGGTATATAATATCATATATATAGTATCTGCGTCTTTGAAAAAACAACAGAATAAAGTCACAGATTCATAATTTTTGAAGCGTTATGCTGTTGCACTTGATTTTTTACATTTTAAAAAATGGTTAATTAAAATTATTTTGAATGAAACTTTTAAAAATAAATATACTTACTAATAGAAAAATCACTCTGTTTAGTTTATTTTTTACAGAAAAGAAAAAGGATAAAAATTGTGGAAATTATGAATAAATGTGTTCAGATATACCTTTGTTATATAATTTAAGATTTATCAATGTTGGAATAAATGCATAATTTTTAGCAAAAAAGAGCAAATATAATGTGTTTAAATTTTGTTTATCTTACTTAAGAAAAAAGTACTATGAGAAAAATATGGTGGTTAAATGGTAAAATGTGTGCACATTTTGTAATTTTTTTCCCATACTGGTCAAAGTTTTTGTATAGTCCGTAGCCCCATATTTCATTATAGTTTGTGTTCAACAAAAGAATGTATAATTAATCATGCTCTTATTTGATATTTTCACAGTTACCAGTCAAATAAAAAAACAGTAATGAATAGCTTTTGCGCTAACATCAAAAGAAGTTATTAAAGAATAATTGGTGTCCGTAGCCCTGTATAGTCCGTAGCCCTAATATAAAAGCTTCCAGAAAAAGTCATATACATTATTGATACAATAACTACAATACAATAATATCTTTATTCAATATAATACCAATATACCTTTTGAATGAACACCTTGAGCTCCATGTATTACATTAAAATAAAAAAAATATGAAGCAATATAGTCTGAAACCCCCCCCCCCCCAAAAAAAAAAAAAATCATGCCTTGATTTAAATACAGCTCCTTTTGCTTTTATTCATTATAGTTTTATAGTTTGAACCCCAATAATGCATTAATTAGTTGAACTGGAATTTCATTTGGCGTTGAAAATACACAAAACATTAGACAATTGATTTTTAGATATGGTATTTTGAATACTCAAACTCAGGAGCGTGAACTTTTATAGAATGCAAAATAATTTTAAAAAAATGCCCAAAATTTAATTATTCAATTATATTTTCTTTAAGTTGATTGTCCACAATAGAGATGCTTAACGGTATAGTCCGTAGCCCCAGTGCTCACATGAAATCCAGCCATCACAGATGCTAAATTAAAGCCCATTCTTGGTCTCCAGATGGTCTTGAACTATATTTTGTTATCAAAACACCAATTACATGTAATTCTGACATGTATTATTTTGTTCTGACAATTTATATTTTACTCGTATTGTGAATTTACTTGAAGTTTTTCGTTTTATTTTGTTAAATTTCACGGGATTTTTGTATAAATTGATTTAATATCCAAATGAAATGATTTATTAAACACGTTTGAACTCCATGATGACAATTTTAACAAATATTTACTGATACAAACAGGTATTTTTCTATGATCTCTCAATAAATGAAAAATACTATATGTATAGTCCGTAGCCCGGGGTCTCAAAATAGTCAATCAAAAAATGTTTGACACAGTTTTTCTCTGAATATTACCAAATAAGTTTGAAATTTTCAGTCCCACATACAATATCTTTAGAAAAAATCAATGTACTTTAATGTATTTTTACTTCAGATGTCCAAATAATAAGAGTAGAAAAACTCCCAAAGATTAACAGATTTACCCATGTCCTTTATACACTGTAACATTTTAATGGAAATGAGTTATGTGATTTTTCTTGCTCAGACAATGTTTTGTGAAGAGTTTGTATTTGAATTATACTTTTATTGTTAAGTTTAATATGATAAAGATAAATGTTATGACTGAATATGTATAGTCCGTAGCCCACTTGGGTCTCTGCTATATTAAGAGTGAAATCTTTTTAACCGCTTGACAGAAATGGACAGAAATTTCAGACAATCTGCTAAAAGGATGTAGTGTTACAAAGAACATATTTGTAATACATTTCGTTTGACTTCATTTTTTGTTAATCTGCAACCAACATGGGCACCTGATCTTGGCCAAGGCGATATATATATATATATATATATATATATATATATATATATATATATATATATATATATATATATATATATATATATATATATATATGATCTTCCATGGTTTGTGATTAGATGTGATTTTTATACCCAACTAGTTGATTTATATCCCCGAGTCTTGGCGAGGAGATAAGGTACACAGAATGACTTGGATATTCAAAGTACTCCGAAATACAGAGAGCCAGGCCCATTTATAGAGCAGTGACCGTTTTACATGAAATATACATAAAATAACTGCTATATAAGAAGTTCAGAAATATTATTTAGCGATATATTATTACATGCATTTAAAAAGTTTTGAAAACACAGGGAAAACACAGGGAATGCGGGGTTTTAATCATCTTTGTATATAGAGAATAATAAATAACCAGGATGTGATGTGGAAAAAGGTATGTTTTATTATATCTATTACATACTTAATAATAAAATACAACATACATCAACTTGAGAAAAATACAAATAAATACTCATGCACTGACTACTGACATGTAGCTTATTATAACAAAGAACAGTAAAATAAAATTAAAAGAATGTGAACAAAAAAAAATAAAAATAAAAATAGATGTATTAGGTACTTTTTATCAGGTTTAATCTGCTAGAGGTGTGATATAAATCCCGATCAGATCCATATCATATTACTAAGTATATATGTAACCTGTATAACCTCAGTGTCAGGATATAACATTTCATTACCCACATTTTATTTATCTTACAATGCGCAATACATTTACTTCATTTATTATCATCTTTGATTATTTTTTTCCTTTATACTTTTTCAATTTTAATTTAATATGCTCTTTAATATACATGTACTAAATATCCACCTAACAAGGTCGGATGCTTGACATACTTACAAGTGTGCATTTACTATGCACACGTATAGGCAATGAAGTTTTCCATCATTCTATATTGTAGATTCCCAAATATACGCGAGAAATGAATTATCGCGTAATTTCGCGAGAAGCAAAATAAAATTACTCGCTTTTATTTTTATGGTGCTGAAATGCATGTAAAATCTCTAGATCAAACGTCTACTCGCGAATTATTGTTCTCGGGATTTAACGTCTAAGGGCCATTTCGCAATATAAAGTACTCGCCTAAAATAAGGAATCTACAGTAAATAGAGATTGTCCTATCAAGCTAAATGTGTTTCGCACGTGGCCTGTGTGTACATACGGTAGCAGTGGTTACGTTCACTCTCACTCAGGTATTAGCTTTCCGTAAAAGCTTGTCTGACGTGGGAAAACTAAATTTCTAACTCAGCATCATCAAGCTTCATCAACATGAATTATCTGAGAACGGGAACTGATCTAATTTGAAAAGCGTAATGTTTATATTGGCGGTTGTTGGGTTACTATTAGGTGATTAATCCGCGCAGATCGGCAATCCCATAAATTGAGCTATAGCTTACGCTATGGAGCCTGGCTAAAAAACATATCCGACCACAGACTAATTGGAGATTCTTTTTAACACATGTTTTACTCATGGTTATCATGTTTTACACTGTTTTTATATGTGAATCCACTTCAATTTTACTTCATCACTCAAAAACTCAAATTACTCAAAAAACCATCGTGGCGTGTCAATTGTAAGTTTGCTTTGAAAACGATCTGTCTAAGCAATACGTGGTAGTAAATACACCAATTCTGTACTGCGTAATACGGGTTAAAGGACTTGTCCCATGTTTCTCAATTACTTGAAATTAAAAGCGTATTATGTCCCTTATGATCATAGTTTATGAATTTCGTGTTTTTATTGTGGAGATAACGCGGTAATTTAACATTATTGATTAAAATAAAAACCCCTCAGTTAAAAATCCAAATTAATTAGATTGCGATCACGTGACCATGATACGTCATATGCGATATTGGCTGATCAGTTATTTATGTTAACTTTACTAAAATGTACGAGATGCAAACTGAATTTTCTGCGTTATGAACAACTGAATCACTGATTTTATCCCTATGAAGTTGAATATTCAACCTTGTTTTTTTACTGTTAGCAAGAAAAAAAAAAGAAAAATATATATAAACATGGTAAATTAACCTGTTAACAGTGAAGATAGGGGAGACGAGCGAAGACGAAGAAACTCGCCTGCACAAAATAATTATATAATTTGTCATCTTATCACACGTATTAACCAACCTGATTCACAAATTTAAAATTACAGAACTTTGTTTATTTATTTTATTTAATAATCTTAAATCAAATCATAATGTAAATACTTGAGCGACTGAATCGTTATTGAAATGAAAAGGGGAACGCGGGACCGCGGTAATTGATAATAATACCTATAGTTTGAAAAAGTGACGGGATCTTTACTAATTATCCTTTCTTCTATAATCATATACTAATTACTGTTATTAAAACTGACAAGCTCTGCAATGAATCAGCAAGTTTTTTCGAGATTTAAAATTTTTATTTTCTTACTAACATCATTACACCATGTATACCTACACTGTAGTCTGTTTATAATATTTACATGCATATATTTATAAATTCATCTTTAAATATATGTTTATACTTAAATTAGAACAAGTTCATACTTCTATAATTACTGAAAAGCATGTAAGATTCAGAATGTTCCCTATTACCCAGCATTTGTCGTTAACGTTGATAACTTCGTTAAAAGTATACTGTTTCTCATCTCGCTATCACTGAATTGTGACAAATGACGTCACAGCAGTATAGCGTCGAAATCCGATTGAAATATGCATATCGCCGTATTTGAATTTCAACTCTAAATTTCTCTTTGAATATGCTTACAACAAATTGTATTTTATTCAATATTTTAATAAACAAGGTTGTAGATAATATTTTTTCATAAAAATACGGATTTTTTAAAAACATGGGACAAGTCCTTTAAGTCACAATATAATACAATATACCAGCGTGTGAAAATTCATATCAAACCAGAAGTAACTTTTGTAAAGTTTAAATGTTTATCAACCTGATTTAATGAAATATATACACATGTTGACTTAATTAGAATAGGCTCTATAAGATTACAATGAAAAGGTCATAAACATGCACGAAAATGCTTTCATTGTTTACACATGTATGTGAACTCGCATATTAAACATTTCAGTTATATGATAATTAGATTTAGAGTACAATACTAACATACTAAAATCCAGATCATATGTCATATCCACCCTTAAGCCACATTACAGCATTCTGGCTGAAATGGGGCTACTCGCATTGATAAGAATTTACGTATGTAATACTCTCTCTCTCTCTCTCATTTCATAATAATAATGAATACCATGCAATTAATTCTTGAGAAAGCTATTTAAATTCCATGTATAAGCATGATGAAGAAGAGGTCATATTTGATGAATACTCCATGAAATGCACACTTTTTCTTACCAGTTGCGTTGCTTTTTTTAATCACCCTATTACCATAACAAATTATATCTGCCTACTTGCAGTACGCAAACTCAAGGCCAAACAATATTTTCATCAACCGCATTTTATCTCCGCCAAATTTTCATTCACTGATAAAAGAAAAAGGTTATGGAGTTATTTTACTTTTTTCGGATTTTCATTTCCCCAGTGATTGTGTTGTTTTCTTGTATGGGTAAGTGGTTATATTTATGGAAAGGCCTATTTCAGATTTCTAGCTAGAAGTGTTGATAGGTTTCAGATATACCTCAAGCACGATATTGCATTTATGCTCATTATGTATGATATTACTGAGTCGTTTCTATCCTTCTTCCTCAATTTGTGTACATTGCAATTGTTAAAGATAACATGCTTGATTTGAACATATGCTTCTTTTTTTTTTAAGTTCATAGAACCATTGTGATATGGTTGCTACCTCCTTTACTTAGAAGGTCACTTCCATATAAATTTTGTAATCATTTATATAGATCAATTTGAAATTATTTTCTAAAACTCATGAAAATAGCTTTATTCAAAGTAAAACAATGGGAATTACAAACATCATTCCTTTTACAACAATAATTGCGGCGCGAAATTAGCTCAAGTATTTCTGCGATGTATGATTGTTAGGCAGTATAGTCAATAAATTGAGAGTAATCCACACGTGTAACACATGCAGTGATGATGCTGGTAAAACCAAGTGCTACATCTCATTAATGTCAAAACCTCTTACTATCAGCTGCGCTTCTTAAGAACTTTCATAGGCTACTGTGGAGAACTATGCAAAAAGAAAGATCTTGATCAAAGGGTTTTTTTTAATATATAGGTTATAGGTATTTTGCTAAGCAGAAAACATCAAAATTAACCTAAGATGATAGAATTTCATACGAAAAAACTTGATATGTTCCTATAAAGTGTCATCAGTACCAATGATATTACTTCTAGAAGCTGAAAAATTTCATAAAATAAGTATGACAGAGTATAAAAATAAATTATATAGTAAATAAAAAAAATCAATGACTCAGGATGAATCATGAATTTTGTCAGAGTTTACCCAACTCCAAGCGACCAGACCAGAGTGCTTGTAAATACATTTAATAATCAGTTTAGATCCAGTTTGTATCATTTCCAATTTAAGAAAATATGCATTTATGCTTTTAATGACTTGTCAGAATCATGGAAATGAAGCATGAAAAAAGTACAGCGAACATAATTATCAAAATAAAAAAAAAAGGAATGAAAAGATTTGTTACAGATGTACTAAATAAGATTCCTTTATGTGTACATTGAAGTATATAAGGAGACCAAGGCCGGTATGATCGGTCAACAGGGGATGCTTAATCCTCCTTGGCACCTGATCCCACCTCTAATGTTTTTAGCTCAACTGAGCCGAAGGCTCAAGTGAGCTTTTCTGATCACATTTTGTCCATCGTCCGTCCGTCCGTCTGTCCGTCTGTCTGTCTGTCTGTCCGTCCGTCCGTCTGTAAACTTTTCACATTTTTGACTTCTTCTCAAGAACCACTGGGCCAATTTTGACCAAACTTGGTACAAAGCATCCTTGGGTGAAGGGAAATTTAAATTGATAAAATGAAGGGCCAAGTCCCCTCACAAGGGGAGATAATCAAGAGAAGACAAAAATAGGGTGGGGTCATTAAAAAATCTTCTTCTCAAGAACCACAGGGCCAGAAAAGCTGAAACTTATATGGAAGCATCCTGGGGTAGTGTAGATTCTAAATTGTTCAAATCATGACCCCCGGGGGTAGGGCGGGGCCACAATAGGGAATCAATGTTTTACATAGAAATATATAGGAAAAATCTTTAAAAATCTTCTTCTCAAGAACCACTGGGCCAGAAAAGCTGAAACTTATATTGAAGCATCCTGGGGTAGTGTAGAATCTAAATTGTTCAAATCATGACCCCCGGGGGTAGGGCGGGCCACAATAGGGAATCCAAATTTTACATTGAAATACATAGGAAAAATCTTTAAAAATCTTCTTCTTAAGAACCACTGGGCCAGAAAAGCTGAAACTTATATGGAAGCATCCTGGGGTAGTGTAGATTCTAAATTGTTCAATTCATGACCCCCGGGGGTAGGGCGGGGCCACAATAGGGAATCCAATTTTTACATTGAAATATATAGGAAAAATCTTAAAAAATCTTCTTCTTAAGAACCACTGGGCCAGAAAAGCTGAAACTTATATTGAAGCATCCTGGGGTAGTGTAGATTATAAATTGTTCAAATCATGACCCCTGGGGGTAGGGCGGGGCCACAATAGGGAATCCAAGTTTTACATTGAAATATATAGGAAAAATCTTAAAAAATCTTCTTCTTAAGAACCACAGGGCCAGAAAAGCTGAAACTTATATTGAAGCATCCTGGGGTAGTGTAGAATCTAAATTGTTCAATTCATGACCCCCGGGGGTAGGGCGGGGCCACAACAGGGAATCCAAGTTTTACATTGAAGTATATAGGAAAAATCTTAAAAAATCTTCTCAAGAACCACTGGGCCAGAAAAGCTGAAACTTATATTGAAGCATCCTGGGGTAGTGTAGAATCTAAATTGTTCAAATCATGACCCCCGGGGGTAGGGCGGGGCCACAATAGGGAATCCAATTTTTACATTGAAATATAAAGGAAAAATCTTTAAAAATCTTCTTCTCAAGAACCACTGGGCCAGAAAAGCTGAAACTTATATGGAAGCATCCTGGGGTAGTGTAGATTATAAATTGTTCAAATCTTGACCCCTGGGGGTAGGGTGGGACACAATAGGGAATCCAAGTTTTACATTGAAATATATAAGAAAAATCTTTAAAAATCTTCTTTTCAAGAACCACTGGACCAATAAAGCTGAGACATATTTGGAAGCATCCTGAGGTAGTGTAGATTCTAAATTGTTCAAATCATGACCCCTGGGGGTAGGGCGGGGCCACAATAGGTATATTAAAAGGGGGGAAATCTGGTAAAGAACAGCATGGCCAAAGTTACTCAGGTGAGCGATGTGGCCCATGGACCTCTTGTTAGAGATCCGTGTTTGCTCTTCGTCCGATTTGTTTTGTTTCAATGGACTTTTGAGCTTGATTACAGTTTGCTATCTCCAGTTTTAATAAATGATTACAGATACAAGTAAACTTTTAACTAATTAAATTATATATTTTTTTCATTTGAGTGTTATGATAATACTGTCCAATTTATTGAAATAAAAAAAAAAAAGAAGGTTATTGTTGATTGACTGATAATTTTCTTATTGTACATTTGTTCTTTCTTAAAAATACATTGAAATCTAACATCATCAAAAAATTATCTTAGGTCTGTCTTATGTCTTTATTTGATACATTAAACTTTTTTTTTTAAATAAAGACGTCGTCACAGCCCTAAGTTTCAACGTGACCGCCCCAAGTGGAACACTACTGTACCCAGGACAAACCTTTACCGCCTCCTGTAATATTTGGGGATATCCTCCAATAGACGTCGTTACAAATCTGACGGTTAACTGGAAATTCAAGGATAGCAATATTTGTCTTTACGGAGATAAAATGGAGGACACTCCTGAAAAATACCAATGTTCCTCAGACACCAAATTTGATAAAGACAGTTTCATTTTGTCAGTATCAGGTACATGATTTTTTGGGGGTTTTTTTTGTATGTATTGTTATTATCATTATTGAAAAATATCAGCTACAGGTTGGAACACATTATTTCCTTATCGAGGTCTTCAAAATTCGTATTGTATCGATGGACACCATCAGATTAAAGCGTTATTAAAAATGCTTTTTTCCCTATTATACTTTCTGTAACATTTCAAACATTCACAACAATCTTTGATAGCAATTTTAACATCTAAAGTTTCATTGAATTTCGATACTGAATGTTCATATATAAAACGATTATATATATATTTTTTGCTACAATTAGATGTGTCCTCTGATGATAGCGGTGATTATATCTGTGAAGTCAAGGAAAAGAAGAAAATGTCAACAATGCAATCCATGATAGAGTTAAATGTTGTTGGTAAGTTCCGTGATGAAGTGAACAGCGAAGCATCAAGTGTAAATTTCAATCGCATAATTTACAGCTTATCGTGAAAAATGAAATAAGATAATTTAAAAGTGTAGCTGTTCAACAGTGATTTTACTGAGTAGATTGATTTATATCATATATCCCATTCGCAATCTTGTGCGGCTTTGATAATGAAGGATGTGTGTTCAAAGTTAAATGGCCATTTTTTCACGGAAATATCTTAGATTTTAGGAAAACGTCTCTTTTATAGGACACAACCCCTTTTTCAATAAAATCACTATGTATCAATTTGTCAATTTGTTAGTGATTTCCACACGACTTAGACATTTATTTCCAAGTTTCACATTATGCTTGTTGCAGTTTTGTTCGGAAGACTCTGTGAGCAAACTCTCACAAGTAATTACGCCATCCTCATGAAAAGAAATGCATCAAACAGCATACATGTAATCTATACATAATCTAATCCAACTATATAATCTTATAAAACGAGTGCAGAATTATGAACTTTATTATGTCGGAGTGAGAATATTTCACTGCATTTTGTTTTAGTGAAATTTTTGAAGCACAGAATTATGACTCACCTGAAGTATGTTTAACTCAAATTATAAATTAATCTCATTCATTGATTTCTCTGACATTTAAGATAAGATAGTTTGAGAGAGAGAGAGAGAGAGATTGGGTGGAGGAGATGACTCATTACATGTCAAAGGATGTGGTGCAATGATATTTTTCGTTCGCTTTCAGAACCAACCACAGTGTTACAAATCACTGGTAAGTGCACTTTGTTAAATTGTCTTCTTCAGATTATTTTCTCGAACTAAAAGCAAGCTTCTCTAATCTTAATTTTGGTTTACTTATACTAAAGGACCATGACTTTTGAAGTTTAACAGTTAGAAAAATATTGTGGTTTTATTGTTTGTGTTTTGGAACACACTTTTTAAACATTAACATGGTATTTTCAATTTAAACTTCGTACTTATAAATTTCGGAATTGACATGTTAAAAAATACATATATTTTATTCAAGTTTAAAATGTTACATTCAGAATAAATTTTTCTAATTGTTCGATTTTTAGAAGATATGTCAGATACTTCAACATCAGGTAATTTTGGAATTAAACTATTTAATTAAAACATAACCTTATTAAATAAGCGATCTACACTCTTTCTAGTGAAATTTAAATGAAAATTTTTCCCAGTAATTGACATGGTTGTCCACCCCTGTCTATATTAAAAAAAAAAAAAAAATTCAAAAAAAAAAAAAAAAAAAAAAAAAAAAAAATGAACATATTTCATTGAATATTTATATTTTATTGGTAGGGAATTTATTTTGCTCTCTCATCTATTCAAACATCATGATTTCTAATCAAGAATTGGAAGGTTGACGATTAGAATAAAAAATAATAGGAACTAATGATTCTGGCTCTTTCAAATTTTAGGTTTTTTGTTTTAATCTGCTTATTCTGCATACAGTATGTTATGCCGAGGAAACCAACTGACTTTTGTTCTATTTTATCAAAAAGCTGTGTATTAAACCTATATCACCAAAAGTGATTTTAAATTCTGATTAAATATATTATACACGCGTCTCTGATCCTCAACTTTAAATATTTGTTCACATCTGTTTTCTATAATTGAGCAGACCTTTCATGCAACAACAGCCTTATTACAATCGGAATATACGTTTCCTTAGATACGTTGAATTCATGGATTCATAATTTTGGGGTTCTCGGCATATTTGAGCATGTATTCCTAATCATAGCCGTAGCTTTTTTGCATATGAAATATATATTTTTTTCCAAAAAAATAATGATGATAATACAATTAACTCTTTAACGTGTAAATTTTCGCTAAGGTATGTTGCTAATTTCATAAATTATGTATATAATTTCATGTTGCTTGATCTTCGTTGAACTTAATGCTTGTATTAAGGATTGTGTTAAGGCACACATCAAATAATTTGAACCTAAACATTTTTATGAATTGTGTAGCTTCAAGCAGATGCGGATCTATCACTAAATGTTGACCTAGCAAGTGTTGCTTGATTATTGAATGTATTTTAACCTAAACATGCTATCTATTCTTATAACCTTTTTAAAAAGTAAGTTCATAAGATATCATGATTTTTTTTTTTTTTTTTTTTTTTTTTTTTTTTTTTTTTGATTCGTATCTTTCTAAGCAGTAATATTTAAGGAACGATTTTCAGACAGATTATAATAACATTCAGTTAGTTTGTTTTGTTTGTTTAACTTCCCTTCGAGAATTTTTCATGACATCAGTATTTAGAATGCGTGTTTCACCCTTACATTCTCAGCTTAGAGAAAGTTTTGATTGTAACCTTATTAAATGTACATGTTAATACAATTTTATTTATCACAGAAATTCCAGAAACCACCACCGACACTACCATGGCTGGAAAAGGAGGATGCCGCCCAACCCATTTCCAAACGTTTTCAGTGTTTTTGCTCGTGCAAATTTTATCATTTGGTATCCTTCATACGTAGAAAAAAATCTAGGGAGTCCATAAAATCTTAACAACTCATTAGTGTCATACTAGTAATTTAGAACCGGAATGAAATTTACTGTTATGTTAATTATTCCTCTATGATAAAGTCCCATAAATTTGTTTTTTATTTGATCTTTGTGAAGGTTTCTTGTGAATTTGTAATGCAGAGTAATTTAATAAGAATGGAGTGTGATGGGTAAATAAGACAACTAATGTTCCCATTTATTCAATCTATTTGATTCAAAGCCATCTTGAAAACAAAACACACACACACACACACTCAGAGAGAGAGAGAGAGAGAGAGAGAGAGAGAGAGAAAGAGAGAGATTTCCTTTGATGTATATGTTTTCGGAATATTTCCTAATCTCTGTTAAATACATAAATACACAGATCTGAATTTAAAGGAAATATGAATGTTAGTGTTTCTTGGTTTTGTCTATATTCCTTTTGAGATATACATATACTTTCAAAATAGGATTGTCTTTTTTCCAATTTTTTTCATTTTAAATTTCTACAGCAAGACTAGTACAAAATACGTTTATGAATTTATATACTTGTATCCATTGAGGACTTTAAGGTGATTAACATCGTTTGATATTAACCAGAAAAATGTCAATATTGACCAAACCGAATATGCGTGTACATGTTTTGTGTAAATTTATAAAATAAAACAAAGTGAACTTTTCCTCATTTTGATGTCTTTTTTTAAATATGGCTAAATTTGCATAACATTTTTAAAATCGGAGTTCTAATGTTTTTTATCTGATAACACAAATAAAAACACTGATTTTAAAAGTGTTATGCAGATATCAGAAATTGTTGTCAAATACCATCTTTTTGAAAATGTAATAATGCTTACTTGCGTGTTTTCAACAAAGATGCTTAAAAAGCTACCTACGGCGGAAGGCTTAAATTTTTCTAATATGATTTTCTGTGTATTATGAGAACTTTGGAGATTTTTAAAATTTAAACGCATACACATTGTTTGTTTGTTGGAATGAGAACTGAATAAAACATTTTTCGTGTATTGACAATACATGTACTTGTTGAATTAAGCATCTTACAACAAATTCAAAATAATGCACATTTTAATAGACATTTTACTTTGTACTCCCTTTTTTAACCCACTACATCTGGCGTACATGGAAGGTCTCCGATTTTGTGAAACTGATCCTGATTTGTGTTAAATGTTTTCTGATAATTGTCCGGATCTACGTAACTTGCAAGTATCCAGTGGGTCTTGATATTATCGTGAGCAGCATAGTACACCCCAGTCCAGCTTGCAACAGACCTCGCATTGCGGAATTCATTCTTGTACGCAACAGACCATCCCACGATGTATTCTGTGTTATTCACCTGCACGTACCTTCCGATAAGATCATACTCTTTTTCGGCATTTCCTACAGCGCTGTAATAATGTCCATAGAGCGTTCCGTTTTGACACGAAAGTTTCATCTCTGAAAGAAGTTGGTTCCTCCAAATCCCAGCTATTGCGCATTGTTCTTCGTGTGGGGATTTGCAGGAGGAAGAACCTAAAAGAACATTAAGTTTAAAATTTTCAGCGACACTTCTGTCACTGTTTATGATCTATTCCTATTTATTTCAAAACGTGAAACACACAATACTTTTCAAAAATAGAGGTTAATGAAGGAGAAATTTGACTGTTGATATCCAATAATTTGAAGAAATAATAATGGACAATATTTAAATGACTATTTCAACTCACTGGCTGCCCTGGGCAAGGACTGAACAGGTAACACACTACACACCAGAACCAGAATATATACTTCTTTCATTCTGTAATGAAAAATATAGATTTTTAATAGTGATAAATTAATAATTGAATGTGCTATCCAAGTAAATCTTTGCAAGATTAAAAAGATATTTTACTGAAGATTTCTAGGAAAGTAAATAGCTTTCGCTCTACAAGGCTGTTATCAAAACAAGATTTCTGTAGGGTTTCTATCATTAAATTTTGTGATTTATTTTAGATTTAATCCTATATTTAAAACACATAAAACATATTTGTAGAAAACAAAAGATACATCTTTTAGTACAAAGCAGTAGTTCAATTCATTATGATTTGACATGTTTAAAATATGCTGATTACGAAATGCCATAGAACATGGATTTTTTAAGAGAAAATATTTTTATAATACATGTACTGATTTTGTTTCGAAATATTACCGTGCTTTCGGTATATATTACAAAACTATAGAGATAATACAACACAATTTCGCAAATTATCCTCATAAAACTAGAATAGACCACTTGTGGACTAATTTTACATGTTATTAACTGTTGATCATGAAAAGACATTTTAGAATTATTTTCACTTGACAGGGGGACAGGAACAACAAAACTATTCTTATTCAATTATTTCTTGTTTTGAAATTAAAAATACATGTACATCAATGTACTTAAACAATAAAATGCATTCTTTTCTTTATAACAATATATAATACGGGAATTAACAGTTGCAACTATTTGAGAAAAAAATACATTCCCGCGTAAGCAGGTTATGTTATTTTTTTTTTCTGCAAATATAACAGCTTCTAGTCCCTGTATTAACATATTAACAAACAAACAAGGAAAGCCATATTTGATTATATATAATTTTATATATATATATATATATATATATATATATATATATATCTTATGTAGGTTATGTACATTTTCAGTAATATTATGTTTGCAATATCGGCTCGAAAATTAATATTTGGTTTCATGTATCTTAGAAATATTATATAAAAGATTAAGATAAATTATCAGTGTAGAATTTACCTTGACTTTACGGTTTCTTCCCTGTACGAATGTTGATTGTAAAACTGGTTTTCAATTCGTTCTCCTGTGTTTTATATAAGTAGATGATCACGTGAACATATTCATCATTGACAAGTTTGATAAAATATTGGTACATTCTGCTTTTTGAATGAGTATTCAACTTATGTGAGAATAATGTTTGGATTCCATACTGTTCTTAAACCTTTGCAAAATTACAAAATGTTGTTACCGTAGGAAGAAATACGACCTATCAGTTTAAATTGAAAAACGGGTTTCAGTCACTTTTCAGTGGTCATTCAGTCACAGAATGACAGAAATATTTCAATGACCTATTAATCAACTTTCAGCCACAATTTAGGCACGATTCAGTCACCATTCAGCGAATACATTTCAGTTATCCTTAATTTACTTTTTATGCACTTTCCGTCGTCTTTCAGTCACCTTACAGTGATATCAGTCGTTGTTCAAGAACTTTTCATGAACTTTTAATTGGTACATGTATATAAGTAATCATTTCTTACGAATTTAATGAATCATTCATATCTTTAAAAGTCTTTCTGTTATTCTTACTGTAGTAAGAATATTAAGGTCGAAATTAATACGTTAGACTGGTAAAGACTAGAAATGACTAGATGTTCAATTATGGTTAAATTGTTCGCTTGAATTTTAAATTTTGATTGTAGACTACATAAAATATGTCTAAATATAATTATAGATATTAAACATTACAATTCAACTGTAGACTAATAAAAAAAATCTGCATTATTTTAAAATTTCTAATTTGCTGCACAAAAATTGATGTAGAAAAATAAAATTATTTAAATGATAAAATATTATGATCCAATATTCGTATCAGAAATAAACTGGCAAAGAATTTGCTCTTTTTTCCTTTCTGTAAAATCGCTAAATCTGTGATATATATTTTCACAGGCTTTTTAAACTAATAAGTTGTTCATTTTTTTCAGCTCTTATATATTTTCTGCATAATTCTAATGTCCGTCTAACGCGGTTAGTTTTTATGGAATTTTTCGGGGATGAAGCAGACACAGAATTAATAATGTATGCCTCTTGTAGAAGTTACTTAATATTGCAAATATTGTTTTTGAATTTTGAAATTAAATGATATTTTAGATTAAACAAAATCCTTTCAAAATTATTTCGTGTATTCTAAGAGTAGAATTTAAAACATTCTCTTAGATGAAAATTTATCTCGAATCATATCTTTAAAAAATCAGGCATTCAATAACTGTCATTTTCCCATTAAAGGCGTGTAATAATTAGTCGTCACCCAAAATCTGCGCTATTAATAAGGAATGTATAAAATGTATACAAGACATATACACATCACCAAGCTCCTCGGTAACAAGTGACCTGGTGTCCCAATTCCATTTCTACACATTAATTGATATTTTTCTTGGTCTAATTTTCAGAGGTGCCATCGAGTAATGAATAATGTTACAGACTCAGGAGAACCCAGTTCGACCCTTGAATTGGTCAAATAATTTGTTTCATGTTCAATTTAATTCATTTTTTAATTCGAAAATATTTAAAAGTAATATATGTATGTGTACCTAAAAAGCAGTCGTTGGCACAGAAATAATTCGCTAATTCATAAATACCGTTAATAAATCATTATTAATTTGATACACGGCACTTAAGTGTGTAGCGGTAATTCATGATTAGGTCATTATCCAGTGATTGCGCTAAATTTTGAATACGTCAATTAATATACAAGTTCAGTACCATAATATTAGGAAAATGTGAAATAAAATTGCGAAGTTAAAAAATATGCAAATCATTTAATACATTAAGATATTAAGATTACGGAAAAGTCACAGAAAGGCTTCTTTTAATGACTTTTTAGTGACTTTCAGTGGGCATTCAGTTAACATTCCGTCAATTTAATGGTAAAATTCCATCCTGTGTACGTTCACGGGTCAATTTGGCTAGGTATTAGTACGAGGAAATGACCAGAACTTACGCTATTTTTTTTTTTATCAATTAGTCCTTCATGTATTACGGGTTATAGTACTTTTTGTATGATATGTTCATTTTCCCTTTTTAAAGAGTAGATCAAAGAAGCAGAACCAATTATTCTACCTTAAATTATAAGATAAAGATTAAAAAAAATCATAGCTTATCAAACTTATTCTAACAAAAACTACAAACCGTTAAGGCTTATCATTTTCGGTTGTTGGCATCCTTTTTTTTTCTTTTCCTTTCAGTTATCTTTTTTTTTGTTTGGTTATTTCGAGTAGATTTTTATTTAGCTCAAATCTTGAGTAATAATAGAATGTGTAAAAGTTATTCTGACAAATTCAATCAGTGACCGTCCATTGAATGTCGCGTTTCAGGGTCAATGAAAAATTTCATTTCTTCGTGTGTGTATCTTCCTCTATTTTATTCTAGGTTTTAAATTGTTATATGCACCTATTTATTTAATAATCTTTTCTTTCCCTTTTCTCTGTTTCTTTTTATCTATTTTTTTCTATGTTTGCATACATATAACAATTTGATCCAGCTATCAGGAAGTAATTCTTAGGTTGTAAAGTACATATAACACATTTGAAATGGTTTAGAGGTTATCTAAAATTCCTTTAATGAATTTCAAACATGCTAAACAAATATTATGTTTAAGGGTTTGGTGAGTTTGAAATGAATCCCCTTTCACTTTTACAAATAAGAGACTGATATTATTAACATATTGATACAAACAATCCATTGCAAAATAGATTCTCTGAAATTTAGCTGATTAAGTTTAATTTATTTTTCTCTCTGTACATCCTTGTCATTCAAAACAAAGATATCTGGGAATTTATTTACTTTGTGGGAGAAACAGTTCCTATTATATTGTGACAAATGAGTGCTACCTATTAATATTACTTCTTACATGGTTAT